TCATCCATCAGTCGTGGATTTTCCACATTTGATGACCAGATGGTACCCTCTGGAAATTTAACATAACTATGGAAAATCACCATTTTTAATGGGAAAATCCACTATAAATGGCCATTTTCAATAGCTATGTTAGTTTACCAGAGGGTATGATCCCATATTGCCAGGGTAAAATTGCTCCATCGCTGAGGCGCCAGGAGCCTGTTGAGGGGGCCGCAAGCAACTCAATCAATTTTGTGGGTAAACAAACATAGCAATGACGAATTCCAACCTCCAATAGTATAGAACATAGTAGAACAGTAAAAACATGTACAGTAAAAACTATTTAGATATCCGAGATTGTTTATCGCAATGTCAGCTTGCCTTTTTGGGCCATTCGACCCTTCTGCTGACGCTGACAGCGACAGGACTCCCGCCTTTGGCATGTGTGATGGTATTGCCCGCATTCCTTGGCTGGGAAGAGGTGTACTCCCTAAAAAGATGGACAATACGAGAATGGATGGCTAAAAATCTCTGGGTCGCTGGCTCTAAAAATGTTTGACCCCCACGCGCCCACGCAAATCATATAAGTTTGGGTCGCAGTTGCTATCAAACCATGCAACTGTTGACTAGCCATGTCAACCTGGATCAATGCACCCCCGATGGATTGAACACATGGGCCCACAGTACCATGTTCCAAGCTGTTTGCAAAGCCACTTGTCTCCCCAAAAAGGTTGGTGATTGCATTCGCTCCGCAAGCGAATGAACCCCTTCACTCCATTACCCAAAACCCAAAGGGCCTGACCACTCCAAGATTCGAATCTTGTTTCAACCCAAAAATTAGGCCAATCTCCCCACCCAACCACCAAACATTTATCGGGTTTATCCTGTATACAACACGGTTATCACCGTTGTTGCTAGTTGGGAGAAATTTGGGTTTATATCTCGTTATCCCCATTCTTGGTTTCGTTAATTTACTCAAAAAAAAATGTTGGCGAAACAGCCATCCAACCTATCCAACGCATCCAAACAGCAACTTCCCCCCAAAAGGAAATACACGACGATCCACAAATAAATGTACGTGTATGTATGTATATATATATATATTTATATATATATAATATGTATGTATATATATATGTATACATTTGTGATTATTTGGAAATAAAGGGACATTCAGTCCTTGTAGAAGCTCAACCACCCAACCCATCCAACCACATGGATAAATAGTGTGATAATTCACTGGCCCCCCTTTTACACCCATTATATGGTTGATTATACGCCGGCTTGTTGATGATTTTCCCAATAACCAAGATTTTTGGTAGTTATACGTATAAATCCCACTTACATCCCATTGTATCCCCGTGATTATCCCCATTGTTCTCCCACTATTACGAGTTGTTAAATCAGGTTAAGTCCCTTTTGCTGGGTCAATCCCAATGTTAAATTTTAAAAAAACAGCTCCCATTAAACCACCATTCATTCCATCCATGCAAATTGCCTTTTTGCTTGGTAACATCCGCCATGTTTTCTTGGATACCCTCCGGTAGTCGAAGGTGGCAATGGAAATTCCTCTGTAAATGGAGGCTTTAATGAGAAAATCATCTATAAATGATCCATGCCACAGTTGATTACTGGAGCGTAAATCCCATATCCAATTGAGCCATTGAAAATACCCCTATCTCAGTATACTAGTTGGTTGATAGGTTTTCCCTCCTATGGGTTATCATAATGGCTCAATTTTCATAGGAAAACCCCAACGCCTTGTGCCTTGCACCCAGCATCCGCAGCACGAAGATCTCCCCGGGCATCGAATCAAAGATCTGCTCCACGGGCGTCCGAAGATCCGCGCAGCCGATGACCGCGCAGAAGGGCGCCGTTTCGGCCCCGGCCATGGCCTTTGGGATCCTCACTGCTTGGGGGAACTGCAAAGGTTGGGAAACTGCTGGTGGTTTTTTTTCGAAACGGAAATGGAAAGATTCTTCGAGAAATTGGTGGCTTTTTTTGGTGTCGATGAGTCGATTTGATAGGAAAAATGATGGATTTCACGCTGCCACTTTCGGTACAGGGTTGAAATCATTTCAAAAATCCTGTCATGTCCATCGGAGAATTCCCCACGAAGGTGTTAAGCGGCTAAGACCTGGTACAGTGTCAGGTAAGTGTGACTGAGCTGCGATTTTTGCGATGAGCATCCCAAAGTTCTCAAGAAATCTTATAATGTTAGTAAAGAAATGTCATAAACCAGCTATTTCTATATATCTGTATATATATTGATGGTTTCAATCCCACCCATCAAAATGTTAAAATTGGAGACGGTGGATATTGTTTGACTGGAATTATCAATGGTTAACATCCATCTTTGATCTCATCCCACAGATCCCTCGATCTCCTGCTGGCCACGGCTGTGCCACTGATCCAGCGACTGTTGCCCTCTTGGAGTAGTTTTAGGGCGGCCTCGGAGTTCATGGTGGATCTATGGCCAATCTATGGCCTACCCTCTGGTAAACTAACATGGCTATTGAAAATGGCCATTTATAGTGAGTTTTCCCATTAAAAATGGTGATTTTCCATAGTTATGTTAGTTTACCAGAGGGTATTTACAAAGCAGGGGAGTTGATCAGACTTGGGTCAGTTGGCTAAAATTTCGGGCAATGATTGGATTGATGCTATCCAGGGAGCCGTTCAGAAACCAACACTGGGGGTTCTAGCTAGCACACAAGTGCACAAAAAAATTGCCTGCCAGTTGACAATATGTTGTGACGAGACAAATGGAGCTACCCCCAACAATTTATCAATGGAAAAATCCTTACACAGGTCATAGATGGCAGTCGCCTCCAATTTAGGTACCTGCAATGGCCATTGAATAAATGGGTGGAGAGTCTAACTTCAGAAACTACCCCTGGGCTGGCGCCAGATCACAACGGGGATGCGACCGCCCATTGATGGTTTCAATCCCACCCATTGATGGTTAAAATATGTTAAAATTGGATAAAATTGGATCCAAGTTTGCTTTACTACGACTAGGTAAGGACAACCGCCAACAAATGGGATACACTTCCTGGAACAAACTGGCGAACTGACTCAGCTGAGCCATGCAGCCACGCCATTTCGGCAAGAAATGCCGCCCTTTGTCATTTTACCATCAATTTCACGATCATTTTCTCAGCACTTTCACCGCCATGTTACCATCAGTCTATCTTGTCCTTCCATTTACCGCTGATTTCCAGGCACCGCCCAGAGTGGTTTCATGATCGCTCAGTAGGATACGGTCGGTGAACCCATCTAATCCCAAGGCAAACAATGTAGATCCGCATTGTTGCAGTCCATCCCATTGAACTGCCTAGATCTAAGTCCAACCTCTAAAAAGTGAAATCCTATTCTTAAAACACATGGAAATCCACCCAAAAAGTCGTCATCATACTTTCCCATAGTTCTCCCATAGATTTCCCATAGTTTCCTACCATTTCTCCACATCTTTCAGCCCCACCCCAGCGGCCTCGGCCGAGGTGAGGCTCACCGCCGCCGCCGCGCTGCGTTGCGACGCCGCGCCGTCGTCGTCCAGGCGCAGCACTTCGTCGAGCCTCAGCGCGTGGCCCAAGAACTCCACGCAGCCGCTGGCCTCAAAACGTGGAGAAAACGCTGGTGTTTTTGTTTGTTTTTTCGTTACTTTTTCTATATCTTGATATAGAATGAACTTATTGATTTATATTTATATTTGTGTGTTTGTCTATATGTATTTGTGTGTGTGTGTCTATGCAAAAAACAAAATGATTATTCGTTTTTTTTGTAAACTTGGGAAGGGTGTTTTTAGTACAATATATTGCTGACACGCCCATATAGATCTAATTAGAGATATATGTTTGTAGCATATACATTTGTGTATGTATGGATGCATGCATGCATGCATTCATGGATGCATGTAATGTATGTAATGTATGTAATGTATGTAATTTATGTAATGTATGTAATGTATGTAATGTATGTAATGTATGTAATGTATGTAATGTATGTAATGTATGTAATGTATGTAATGTATGTACTGTATGTAATGTATGTAATGTATGTAATGTATGTAATGTATGTAATGTATGTAATGTATGTACTGTATGTAATGTATGTAATGTATGTAATGTATGTAATGTATGTATGTAATGTATTTATGTAATGTATTTATGTAATGTATGTATGTAATGTATGTAATATAATGTAATGTAATGTAATGTAATGTAATGGTATGGTATGGTATGGTATGGTATGTATGTATGTATGATGGATGGATGGATGGATGGATGGATGGATGGATGGATGGATGGATGGATGGATGGATGTCTGTCTGTCTTTCTGTCTGTCTGTATGCATGTATGCATGCATGCATGCATGTATGTATGTATCTATGTATGTATGCATGCATGCATGTATGCATGTATGCATGTATGCATGTATGCATGTATGCATGTAATGTATGTAATGTATGTAATGTATGTAATGTATGTAATGTATGTAAGTTATGCATGTATGTATCTATCTTTCTATCTATCTACCTATCTATCTACCTATCTATCTACCTATCTATCTACCTATCTAGGTATCTACGTATCTATGTATTTATGTATCTATGTATGTATGTATGTATCTATCTATCTATCTATCTATCTATATATCTATCTATGCATCTATGCATCTATGCATCTATGCATCTATGTATCTATGTATCTATGTATCTATGTATCTACGTATCTACGTATCTACGTATCTATATATCTATGTCTTTGTTGATGGTGAAGCTACCCATTTCATGGATTCGTCTAGGAAGGCCATCCAATTTCTGGGCCAAGGCAATGGGTTTATCCCCATGAAATCTCCATCACCCAAATTGGAAACAGTTGGTTAAGTTAAGCCCCCTTTGTTTGTCGCTTGAATCCCAACATGGCTGTAGGTCTGATGGCTGGAAAATCCACCATGCCTTGTCGAAGATGCCACCTTGCAGCTCCAGCTCGCTGTTTCCTTCGGCACAAATGGAGAACCCCTCAACAAAATGATAAGAACTCGGGAAAAAATCAAACAATCACCAGGAAAGTGTGATTTCAGCGGGATCAAAAAGATTGAAACATGAAAATCCCTGCGAAGGTGTCATGCTAAACCATGTGCGTCAATCTTTTTGAAGACCAACTTATAATTGAGGATGACACTGTGACGGCCCACCCATGACAAGCATGTCACAGACACTCTGGAAAGAATCAAGCATCATGGGGACATGTCAAACATGAGAAAATGCCTGTCAGCAATACCATTGCAAATAGTATGTCCCCTTGGAACCCACCCCTCTGGTTGCTTCATTTCACTGTCCGTGTGTCCCTGTCACTAAGCATTGGCTCGCAAATGCAAAAGCCTTCTGAACTCAGTTACTCTTGGGTTGGTTTTCAAGAAATCCTGAAATGCCACTTCTTACTGTGATGGGTCATTAGAAATATATTGTATATCCTGCAGAGCTTGGGGCTCTCCAACGGTGGCCATGATGACTGTGACCCTTACTTCTGTGATTTCCATGGCAAGCCCTCAGCAGAGTCAAAGGCACTTTCAAGATCATCTCAGTGATCCCCTACGTGGGGGGGGCATCTCACTTGGTAAATGAATTATACCCACGATTATTTGTGGAAAATATCCCCTATTCTATATGGCATATTATATATATATGGAATATCACCTAGTAAATGGATTATATATATAATTATATATACAGTATATGTGGTATATTATATATATATATGGGTTATTATGTGGATTATAAGCAACGGATCCTAAGTGCGAAGCCAGGACGAGCAACGGACCAATTCACGCAGGCGTTGGCTGTTTCTCAGCAGATGCTCCATGGTCTGAAAAATGTTCACCTGGTTTCAACCAAAAATAGATGGCCTTCCTCTGGTTATTTTTCACCTATATATGGAAAATGATGTTTTTTTCTAGATGGATGGTTATTTTTTATAAATGGATGGTTTATTATCTATGGAAAATGGTCCACTTGCATGTGAATTATTCTGATTTTGATGATTTGCCTATTTAAAGTGGTGATTTTCCATAGCTACGTTAAATTACCAGACGGCAATCCCTATAGTTTTCTTGAACAATAGGGGACGGGTCCTAAATATAGGGGCAATGTTATGGGGAGAATGATGATAAACCTTTCTTTTTTTTGTTGGGCGGGAGGTACCCTTTTTCCTACCAACCATCAAGAATAGGACAGTTGGAGGGGTCAAAAAATTTAAGGAAATCCTAGATACTGGTGGTGAAATGTCTAATTCAGACATCACTCAACGAATGAGTGGAGCATCGTTCACGATCATTTGTTCATGTAATGCCCACAACGCCCTTGATATGAGGACATCTAGGTACGGGTCAAAACTGGGCAAAGTAGGATGGCTTACATATCATCATTAGGAGAAAATGAAGAAAAATCCGCAGTCTCCTAGCTCTTCAAATGTCAGCCTGCCACAAGGACATTTACATAGAATGACAATGGACCCTGTCTAGTAACAACTGCTGACCCATATCATCCCACTCAACTCCCGCCCCAGGGGGTGGCCGTGACTTAAAAGAAACTAGATATATTGAGGTTTCATGAGGTTTCCATATCTAAAATGGTGATCCCCAAAACCATGGGTTTCAATACTCAATATAGCAATTTTGGATGATTTGGGGTACCCCCATAGGAAACTTCCATATCAAAGTACATCACCATTTTGGTGACTTTGAAGCCCAGTAGGATGTAGGTCATCTACCCATTTTGGGTGGTGAAATTCTCCATGCGAAAATCTTCTGCCTTGATCGCATGGTCGGCCACGGTGTTGATGTCTGCACTAGGTCCCATTTCAGCCCTCGCGCGGTGAATCACGGCCTCAGGAACTTCTTGATAGACTCAAAGTCCGAGAAAATGAGAGAGGTCAAATGGGAAAAATATGCATCACATGTTGAAAATAATTACCCTCTGGTGAACTAACATAGCAATGGAAAATGGCCATTTATAGTGGATTTTCCCATTAAAAATGGTGATTTTCCATTGCTATGTTAGTTCACCAGAGGGTAATCTATTCTAACCAGAAAGATGAAAAATCCTGAAAATGGGCAGCAACCCCAAAGTTCATGGTCTTACTAATAAACATTGCCAAAGTGAATGGCTTTTTCATACTGTGGAAACAGCATCATAAATGTCAAAGCACGCCCCACGGTCTGTCCATTCGTGCAATGGGTTGTCCTCTTTAAAAGTGAGATGTCCTATTGCATGGGTGGTCACTGGAGGGTACCCTACATTTGCTTGGAGGATCACACCAGAAATCATAACTGGTTAATAATCCTATTTCAGAAATCAACCCATCCCATCCCCCTAAGATCACACATCATGGGAGTCCAGGTCAACGTACGTGTGTTTCTATGTGGGTATGTCTGAAGATAGCCCGTAGCCCGTAGCCCCGAAAACCAGCGGTTGATCATGGTTTCTCGTCATAGTCCCCATTCCCAGACCATTCAAAGTGACCTCTTTGTCCCCTGAGGTCACTCAAGCCTTGAAATGGTCACTTCACCAACCCCAAAATGGTGACTTTGAACTTATTCCCCATGGAAAATCCCCATCATATTCCTCATGACTTTCATGTCGTCATTTTGGAGCAATTCTAGTAGGCGGAAGAAGATCGAGCGACTTGGAGGTCCTGCATGATCATATCCTGCCCAAAGGAATCCTGGACGATTGACCCACTCAATGCTTTTCCGAAGAAATTTCCAGTGCCGAAGGAAAGATATGCTGGAAATAAAAGGTATATAATAATCATATTATAATCATATATTGTCATATAGACATCATATGTCATATTTTTGAGGTGGAAGGCTGGAAGGATCCTGATAGTCGGTCATGTTCCCCGCTATTTCCCCTCAGGGCCCTCATGAAGTCCATGTCTGGCGACCCATCCCCGTTTTTGTTGCCAAAGGTCAATTCTTGTTGAAAATTCAAATGTAAAATGTGAATGAACCTAAGTCTAAATCACTTAAAATTGCCTCAGTGTTGACTTCAACTCTCGATTCGTATGCTCATATAATTGCACCCCTACCCTTCGGTAATCAAAGGTGGCAACTGAAAATCCTAGTTTTAATGGGCTTTTGACGGGAAAGTCATCTACGTTTTTGCGTGGATTAAAACCAGGCCATTTTTGATGACATTGCTCGTCACTTCGGATCATCATCCCATCAGCCGACGTATGGGTCAAGCCACTGGCTACAAAAATGGACTAAAACTTGAGACTTGATCGACTTTCCAGTGATTCCAGAGGTTCCATAAATCAAGGTTTTATCAGGTACCTCAGGCTGGACAGAAGGTCTCGATACTAAACTTCGTGGTTTGATCTGAAATCTTCACCCAAAGACGTCCTGCCGTTCGCGGTCCATGGTCATGCGGGTGCAGCTACAAATGGCGTCACACTCTCGGTGTCCCAGGATTAAGATCCTCAGTGCGGCTTGGCCGACCATCAAAAACGTGAACCATCAAAGAAAACAACAGGATATGACCATTACAAAATGGGATCTCAACCAAGACTGCAATTCAAAAACAAATGTTTATAATCGACCAGTGCTGGCACATAACTGAAAGAAACAAGCTACAGGGATACTCATACGCAAGGTCTGCGGTTCCCACCGTTCCCAGTTCATGGGCCAGTTCAACAAATCACCAATTTGTACCAGGTAGCATAACCAAGTTCTTGGCCTTGTGATATTTTATAATATCCCTATGTTTGGATGGTGAAAACCATCCAAAAATGGTGGTTGAATGATGGTTAGTAAGCCCCTAGTTTGCCACACTTAAATCACCAATCGCTCAAGCACGGGCACGGCAGTCACTCGGTTCGCAACCAAGGAGCAAGGGCACATTGAGCTTTGAGGTGCAAAACTCCAAACTCCCAAGGAGACTGCCTCAGCATTGTTTTTCACCCGTGGGTTTCACATCAAATCTGGGTGAATTGGGAATTCTCAAGATACTACTTGAAAATCATGGGTTTGGACCCATCCTCGTTTGATACTGACATGCAACTGGACGGGTCTGGTTGCAACTGGAGATCCCATGGTTCCGAATGGCACCGACGTTCTGGGAAATCTATGTTGGTTTTGGGGCCCTGAGTTCTTCAAGCACCCAGCAGATACGTTGACCTTTGGTGTTTCGTTCAGGGGTTGCCCAATCTGCTGCTGAGTGGCTTTCGGCCTGAGAGTAGGTGTTGCCAGCATTGGGAAGCACAAACAAGGACCCCGGCCTCGACTTTTCAGTCGGGAGAGGAAGATTGGGTGAAACTTACAGGGAAAACCATCAAAAATGCTGAGATTCGCGACAAGAATGGAGATATTTCTGGAGTGTGGCGACAGTCGGTGGATATTTTAAGAGTCACCCCCAGTGAGGTAATGCCAGTAATCCTCAGGGGTCCCGCACCAAGGACATACCGATAGCAGTTGTTGATCACTGCGTTCGGTCTATCATAAAGTGTCGATTCGAAGACCTTTCAGTTGGAAAAATATCCCTGATGTCAAAACCAAATAAAAAGACTGGTCAGATCTGGTCAGTGGTTTTTTCACCTATCTCAGAAAGCTGCTCCCGAATTGGGGATCATTCGTAATAATTCACTATCCCCCAAAAGTGGATGGAAACTGGAAATTTTCCATGAATACTTGAAACCACCAACCGAAGCTCTTGGGAATAATTGGTGCTTCTGGCTCCAACTCACCAACTGCCTGGCAAATTTGATCAGTTCTCAGTGGGGCTCTTGGTGGGATTTGATCAAGTCATTATCCTACCCCCCAACCCACAGGGCCAATAATGAGCTAAACATGGGCATCTCACACTTAGAATCCCAGTTGTCCAGTTGTTACACTGCAAGGGCAACACCACCTGGAAGTCAAACAGTACACAGTTTATTCCACTTAGTAAGTAGGTTCCAGTCCCAGTTACAGTGGATTAACTGTATTTGCCTTTAACCAGGTATATAGCCTACTTGCTAAGTGCGATGCACCAGCAAGTTCCCATATCCCCTAGCTGTATTTGAGGCCCGAGATCGAATGATTTAACTAAAATGAAAGATTTGGAGCTCAGCGTTGCCCTCTGAGTCTCACAGCCAGTGTAGTAGACGTGATTGAAAGTTTTATCTCTGCAAAGTGTGCTCATCATGTCGTGTGTAAGTCTATTGTGTGCATGAGCATTTGTCTTTCAATATGTGCAATATATGTTTATGTAAACATACATACATATATATATATATGTATACATATATATATATATTGCACATATTTCTACATATATATATATATACATATATAAATACATATATTTACATATACATATATATACATATATATATATATGTATGTATGCATGTGCATGCATGTGTTTATGCATGCATGCAGCATGCACGTGTTTATGTGTGTGTGTATATATATATATGTAAATATGTGTATGCGTGTGCATTGTACGTGATGTGAAGGCACGAGTCGACCAGTCGCACGTTGCGACTTCCAGAAGAGGTGGCAGCAAGTTTGTGGTTAGCCATAGACCTGATCCTCACCATTCCCTAATATGTAACCTAACTTCACTTGAGTGGTTGTGTTATTTGGCTTGGCGCAATTTTATTTTCCCTCATGCGGCCAGGAGTGTCATATTAATATACAGACATATGTAATATTATATAAAATATACAGTATATATGAGCGTGGTCCCTGGACTGCAGGGATGGGGTACCATTGGGGAGGAGAAAAGGTGCCGGGCCCTGAATGTTTTACCCACCTGAAAAATTGTGCGCCATTTGGGGGATGATTCACCCATTCCAAATAATGAAAATAGTGCCGTTAATTCAAATGATTATTCACCATCCTTCCAAAAATACCATCCCGTAATGATTCCTTCAATCCATTCACAGAAGGTGATTGGTTGGCCATATCGCATCCAATATACCCATGAAACCCCATTCATTCAAATCTCATTACAGTCCATTTTAAATCTCATTCAAATCCATTTTAAATCTCATTCAAACCCATTTTAAGTCCCATTCAAATCCATCTCAAATTCAAATCCTATTCAGATCGCACTAAAATCCCACTAACATCCCATTCAAATCTCATTCAAATCCATCTCAAATCCGTTTCAAATCCCATTCAAATCCCATTCTTCCAGCAGTTCGTTCCAACCTTCCACCCAGTGGCATGGCGTCGAAGATGGCTTCGGCAGACACCGGGCAATCGGAGCAACTCACCACGGCTGCGTAGGTCGCCTACAGTGAGGAGCTAGGCGTTGCGGCAGGCGGCAGGAACTTGCCGGGCTGAGATGGATGGTACATCCATGGGAGATTTATGGGATATCTATTTGATGGTGTATGGAAGGGTATGGTATGGTATGTCTATATATGCATATATACATATATACATATATACATATATACATTGTGGTTGCCCACAAAGGTAGCCAAGCCCCCGAGCTAACCAAGGAAGGAAAATTGGGACCCCAGGTCCTACCAAGCTTCACCAAGCGCCAGGCCGCAGGCGCAATGTTTTCCAATGGCTGACCGCAGCAAATCACCGATTAAAGGGGCATCCTAAAGCCCTTTGCTAAGGCCACCCTGAGCCGCACCTTCTATGACACACCAAGAGGTTTCCCGCTGGTGATTCATGATACAACTCGTTGTCAAGAGAATCTTCCTATACCTTCAAGTCATGTCATGGTTTGGCATGGAAATTACACTCCTAAAAACTATATTTTTTTTGTTTAGTGAATTAACGAAGGACAAGTGGGATGTCATCGCTTTGGCATGCAAGAGGCAGGATGGCAACAAGGCAGTGGGATTTAGGGTCTTATACTGCTTCTTGAGTTCTATCCTGGCGTTACAAAACTTAGGGATGTTCCTTCACTGAATTCCCCTGGTGTCACAAGATTGAAATCATTCCGGAGACTTCGCATCGGAGATGAGTCCTCTTTAGAGGCCAAGGCTAAGCGCAAAAACATGCAGTGCTGTCTCAGGCCCGTTCGATTGTTGATACCATGCCTGTCGGACACGCTTATCAGCTCTCTGCTTCAAGATTTCCTCTGGATCATGCAAAATGCACTTACCTTTTTGAAGAAAGGATAATAACACACTTGTGTCCATGTCTTTTGTCAACGCATCTGCCATTTGAGCGGCACTATGGACCCATTTTATGATTACCCCTTCATTGAGTCTATCTTTAATAACAAGTGCTTCAAGGAGTGTCCGGTACTCTGAGCATTGAGGTATGGATGTCTTTTGCAATAAATCGAAAAGACTCTTGCAATCTACTACGGCGTAGGCAACAGGCAGCTTTTTGAGGGTGGCTTCTGTCTCTTTCCATGGAAGGTTTGGGTCTAGAATCCAACTCCAGTGCATACGTGTCCAACTTAAAAGATCAAGTGCTCCGGAAAGTGCAAATGTTTCTGATGCAAGAGTGCTGGATACTACTCGGTTTATTTTCTTTGAGAACCAAACCAAAGGACTTACCCTAGAGGTTTTCATCTGATCTACTTCATCTGTTGTGGCTAGGATTAAACAACCTTTTTGTGAGTTCGCCTTCTCACGTGTGGCGAAAGCTGCATCGGAATACGACATGAATCTCACTTTTTTGGGATCAAGACTTTGGATTCTGATTTTTGTTTCTGCAAACTTTTTGGCATCATGAAGGAGTCTGTTCCCTTGGAGGAGATCATTCACTGTGGCGCATGTGATCCTGGCTTGAAGGAGGCTCAAACGGCATGATATGTCAGGCCGGGTGTTCGTAGCCGCATACTGGAGACTTCCAATCAAACCGCGCAGCTCTTGGAGTTCTTGGGCCGTTATCTTTTCTTCTGGAAATTTTCGGCGGTCTTTGGGGATGTTTATAGGGGGAATATCTTGGACATATTCTTTTTGGCTGAGAAAAATTTCTCCATTGATTTCTTGTTGAATTTGGATTCCAGTGAATGTGAAACTTCCTTGTCGTTGTGTTCCAAAAGGAAAACGTTTCTCCAACGTGGCTATGGTTTGATTGAACACATGATCTCCGCCTCCGATTCCATCATCAACATGGATTCCAAGTACACCATGAATTTGACAATCCCCTTCCTTTGTATTCTTTTTGGGTAAGGTGAACAAACACGGATCAAAAGGAGACATCACAAAACCAAGCCCTAAAAGAGCATTTTTCAGTTCACAATACCAAAGAAGAGGTGCGTTAATCAGGCCGTAAGCACCCTTTAAGAGTTCGCAAACTTCGGAGTCCTGTAATTTCATTTTTAATCGGAGTTCAGGGGGTGGTTCCATACCCAAAATTCTCCCATCTTGTCGGCTTCCTCGAAGAAACGCCGTCCTGATGTCGAAGGAACGCACAGACCATCGATGGCTCGCAATGCACTGAAGTGCAAGCATACGTGAATCTCTGCCAAGTGTGGGTGAATCCCTTGGGAGACTATCTAACAGTGGATCTTCATACCCAAGAATGACCAGTCTGGCTTTGGCTTTCTTAGTGGCTCCTACTTCCTTTTGTTCGATCTCATCCAGTGTTTTCCATGATAATACCCATCGGGAACGCAATAACTGACCTTCTGGAACCTTGTTTCTGAGAATCTTTCTTACCGTGTCAGTGGATAACCATGATTCCAACTCTTTATCCTTTGCCTTTAGGAAAAGCTTCTGTTCCTCGGATGACAGTTCTTTCACTTTTACTTCTACTTTCTGCTTTTTGGCGGCTGAGGCAAGGAAGGTTTCTTGAAAGTCATAGGTTTTTCCCAAGCATTTATGAAAATCATCTAGAGTGAGAAGGATTTCGGCTTCACAACATGTGGCTTTGTTCTTTGTTTCAGTCACGGTCTGCATGCATGGTTCTGTGTTCATGGATTTTTGTATCTGAAACTTGGTTGTTCCAGTCCATGGTTCTGGTTGAGCTCGATGAGCTTGTACCTCAGTGCTCCATGCATCCATCCGCTGGAACTCACCTCCAGAGATAAACGTCCCATTGGTTTCTCGCTGACCAGCTAGACAACTGTGATCCACGGGACATTCCCAGGCATCAGTTGGAAAAAACATTCGCAATCTTGGGATGACATGGTGACGGATCAATGTGTCCCCTTGGATTTCCCAGTGATCTCTGTTCTGGTCCACGGCAACTAGATCATCATCTATGTCTTCAGGTACCGGTGTAACTACCGCTGGATCTGGGATCTCTTCGGTCGGTGTTGGTGGTCTTGAGGAATCAACATTTTGGCATCCGGGTTCATCATCAGGCTGTCCTATGGATGGTGGAGGATTAGGGGGATTATTGTTAGTATCGGGTGGATTAGGGATTATTAAGTCAGGTTCGTGCGGAGTGTTATTGGCAGGTCTTGGATTAATGGCATTTGGACTGGCTTGAGTGGACAATTCTCGGAATTGAAAGACCCCAGTGCCGGTGCGGTTGGGAAGTTGGAACGTCTGGAGTTCCTGTGGTGAGATTCCCTGGGCTTCGTCTTCGGAAAGGCGTCGGACATGTTCTGGAGCACACCGATATAACCTAGTAAGGTGACTAATCCACACTAGGTTATTTCCTTCGGTCATGAGGATTTTTGCAGGCCCATGCCACGCACCATCTTCAACTCCTTTACCAGCTCTCCAGTACATGACCATGTCACCTACATTGAAAGTCATCCGATCCGGTCGGGATCTGGCGTGGATGGCCTTTCGGACCGCAGCACTGTGATCAGCTTTCACAAAGGCAATTCTGGCACTTTCTCTGCGGGACATCATTTCCTGGAACTTGTTTCCTTCAGTTTCGGATTCCTCCAATCCCATGTAACTAGCGCTATCCATGTAAACATTAGAGTTACATCCCGGTACTGGCTTCATTTTTCCTAGAACCCAAAGTTCGGGGGTGTATCCAGCATGACGAGACATGGCATTTTTGGCATTACAGAGATGGATCAACCCTTGTTCAAAGTCCCCTTGATTTTGGATGGGGTGGTCTTCATGATACTTGGTGATCATGTGTTTGAGAACGGCCCCACTACGTTCTGCACGTCCCAGCTGCCAATGTGCTTCCGTGGGAATCACGTAGCTTGAGATGGCATTGGCCTGAAGGAACCTGGCAAATTTTTCGCTGTTGGCTTCTGTCGCACTATCGAACATGATGGACTTTGGTGGCCCTGCCCAACGCAACCAAGCTAGATTGAAAGCTTCGATTAAGCTATCAGTCGTTTGTTGGATGTAGGGGATGGCTACATGGAAATTGGTGGCCGAGTCGATAAAATGATAGAAGCCGTATTTCTTGCCTTGTGGATCCTGCCATTCTGCCGCATCAAACGAAATGTGATCGTTGAAATCCCTCGGAAGAGCTAGGTGTCCCGGTCGGGAGACTTTCGGCTGTTGTTTCTCCAGGCATATTGGACATTGAAAGTCTGCGCTACCCCGGACTTCTCTCTCAGACCATCCATACCTTTTTAGTGCAAGCTGCAGAGTCCTGGCATCTGGATGTCCTAGGTTCTGATGGATCTTCTGGATCATCTGTCGGGTCTTCTCATCAAGTTTCTGATAGAGAGGGCCATGCGACTTTGGTTCTATCTGGGGAATCCCTTTATGTTTCTGGATTTCACCTGTCTGATCAGAATCTTCACCGTTGGGGGCTTGTTCATGACTTATAGGTGCATTCACATTTTGAGGTCCTACATTCTCCTCCCTTTCAGTTCTGATCCTTTTGGATTCTTCTTCTTCTTTAGGACTGTCTACGGGACATTCTCTTTTGTTCGTGGCAAATATCGTCACCAGGATGCGGGACGGAGTGCATGCACGAGTCTGTTGGCGGTGAGAGAGGCCCTCCCAGGATTCCCATGTATCATCCAAAAACGGATGAAGGTCACTGCGTCTTTTGCCAAAAGATCTTCGGATTGGTGCTATCCCTTTTGATGAGAATGGGCACGTTCTCATGCGGTTGATTCCTCGGCAGACATCTATAACCACTATCTTTTTGTCGGGAAAAGCTTCTTGTACACCCTCGAAGAGGGGGCCATCTTGGATCACTACCTTACCAACTCTGGGCGCACATGATTCAGCAAGATGTAGGAGTTTTCTCACCTGATCCATGGGATTCTGCTGGGAGTCCGAAGCGTTGTCACTAGGTCTGGCTTCGGATTCCGGTGGTGCAACGAACAATCTTTCGGGCTGGAACTTGCCGGACAGTCGGCGCCGCTTTGGCTCAGGCATTTCACTGTGACTTGGACTGGCAACACCTACGAACTCACTTCGGTCTCCGAATGCGATCTCATTGACATGGCAGCTACATTGGATGGCTCGACTAACCCGCTTACTGAACAACACAGTGTAGAGTTCAGAGTATTTGGTCACTGACATCCTACCTGAACCCTTTGGATGACATGATCCGGCAATGGTGTCGTGAGGATGGTTTCCTACGCACTGATATTGTTGAAGCATCCGCCACATGATCAAAGACGTAGTCCAAATCTGGGTTTTCTTTTGCAAAAGCTCATGAGAGTTGGGATGTCTGAGGTTCCCTGCTGTGCACATATCACACTGAACACGGAAGGCATGACAAACCATGTTGTGCAACTCCTTTTGAGTCATCATTTCGGAGCCTGCAGGTTGTTCCAAGTGTGCATGGAAAGAATCACCTCTCCAGTCCTGAAGTCGGAACATGGCATCGCAGAGAAGGAGATGCACGCGTTCTCCCTTTCGATCACTCTGGATTTGGGCTTCTAGTTTCAGGGACTTACATTGGTTTAATCTATTCCAAGAGCTCCAAGGTCCACAACGGGGCGACATCCAAATGTGTTGAGGACGACACATCCAAAGCACATCATAGAGTTTGCACCTACCCCCAAACGTGGAAAGATCACCCTGTTTCAGCCCAAATCGAACAGCTGTGAGTCCTGCGGCTTCGCACTGATGAGTGAGCTGGCTGGAATCACTGCAATAGATTTCCAGAAGTTGTACTTTGGACTTTGACCAATGCTGATGCAGTTCCTGACAACTGGAAACCTGGTACTTCTTGGAAAAGTATTCCCACATTTCTTCATAGATTTCGTTCTCATGTCTGATATGGGAAACATTGTTTTGAGAGAAGTATAAATGGTCCATCACTTGTTCAGGGAATTCATGCATCATATGGTTTCCTACCGCATCACAAAGCCATGTTTGTTGCTCATCATCAAGATCCTGGCCTTTCACGGATTCTGACAGCTGGAGTTCTGCAGTGCCAACTGCGTCAGATTCTGCAGTTGATGCATGATCTGTGAAAGGGAGCTCTCCATGTGAGAAATGCGCTCGCGCTGAACACTCAGTTCCCCTTGAATGGCCACATTCTCCTCCTGCACAACGCTCCACGGCTTGCCCTCTTCCGATGACCAGCTCTCCTCGCTCTCGAGGTCGATGGGCTTCTTTGGAACTGCTTTCGATTTGGCATGAGTGCCCATTGCTGTCACTCCTGTTTCCAGAGGTGTCTGACTTTCTTGGGTCAGTTCCAAGCGTTCCACATAGAGGTTGATGAAGTACAGAAAGGCTCTGTGTGCTTCCTTCTTGCTCTCGCCATACTTTCGGACGAACCATTGCACATACTTCGGGTCGTTCTCGAGGACCTCCTGGTAGGTCTGGTTCACTTTGGCTTCTCCGAAAGCTATGCGCATTTTGCTCAACTGGTCGTAAGACATCTTTTGGTACTCTTCGGTCTTCTTGTTCTGGGTGACAGCCTGGAGTCTCTCGGCGAGATTCATGGCGGCCATCTTCACTTGATCTACGGTCGAAGGTCGAAGGGCAGTCGGAGTCAGGTTGCACAGGGCCAATGCTGCTGTGATTGATCGGCTGTGCTTTCACATGCTTACCAGGACAAATCTGGCAGGGGTCTGCATCGAAACCGTTACTGACATGTTCGGCTATGTTGGACATAATGGGCATGACATCATGTTTACCTGGATTCTCACCTTTGAAAACCTTGGCATTACCGAGCTTGACTAGTTCACAAAAATCCAGGAGATACAGCTTCTTTTCGGAAAGGCTCAAAGGCATCCGGACATCGATCTTGGAAAAACTGACGTGATCCGAGGCTGTATCGATCTGTGCCCCCAGCGTTCTAAAAACGTTGTTGGAAATCGAAAATGGCGTCTTGGAGCTGACTACGCAAATTTTGACATACCACTTGGACAGAGGCACCAGCATCGCTCGGCTACACATGACTGTGCTGCTATTTCCGAACCTGAAAACGGTGTTGCAAGGCACTTCACGGACCCTACTTCGCACATCTGCTGGCAAGTGCGTCATGAGTTCATGTAGTTGTTGCTCTCCGATCACTGTCTGACTAGCTCCTACATCAACAATGCCATAAGGTCCGTGACTTACGAAAAGTGCACATTCAGTGGATCTCATTTGGATCTTTGGAGGGTGCGGCTCGGTGGTTTTCCTGGGCAAAGGGCTCAGGCGACTTTTGACTGATTCCACAAACCTACAAAGCAGTTTTGGGCTCAACTGAGGACCTACGGATGATTTCTGACACGGAAAATTGGTGTGACTGTTTACAAAACACATCTCAACAGGGGTTGATGAACATCTACCATGTGGGCAAGGGACAGAGTCGATTGCTTCGATCAGGACCATGTCGTCCGGCTCAGCATCATCATTCACCATGGTCATTCCGGTGAAGGCACTGTTGTCACGGTTAGAGGCAGCGGGAGTCGGATTGGTCTGGCGCCCCATGGGGCATTCCGCTTTCCAGTGTCCTTTTTGTCCACATCTTCTGCACTCAGACTCAAGAATCCTCTGTGCTAAAGGCTTCCTAAATCTTCCACCATCTTTTCCTTTCCCCTTACCTTTGCCTTTGGGATAGTTGTTCTTCCCTTTGGAGGCGCCCCAGAACCCACGGTTCTTGTTTCTGTCTGACAGCCTTTTTCGAGCATCGAGGTATGCATTATAACACACTGCAAGATCACTGTCGGACTGAAGAGAATCTAAAAGACTTTCCTCAAACTGCATGCAGATGACGGCATCCGGATCTCCCTCATCGTAAAACAGTTCTGAATCTTCCCAACTCTCTCCAAAAAAGGCTTGATCCTCTTCAGGGTTGTTCCATACTGTGTCATCTTCAATCACAGCATTGACATCATAGGTTTTTGTTCTGATGTTTGTCCGACTACCAGATTGAACCTCATGAAAAAACTTGGATCCCAGCAGCTTAAGGTCAGGAACGATCTTCTTGTACTCCAAGTTACCTCCAGCGTCAATGATGATGCGCTTTTTGTCTTCAGCGCCCAGTCCAGAATTTCTCAAAAGCACGTATGCACGGACTTCTTCGAAGCCCACACCCATTTGAAGCAACTCTTCGAACTGATAATCATGCCTGGCAAGGTAACTTTCATGTGACTCATCGGTTTTCTGTACCGTTGTGTACAAGGCTCTCTCGAACCTCTCGAATTTCTCTTCCAGATTGCTACGCCCCCAGATACCTCCAAGTGAGGTGACCAGCAATTCTACCCCTTTGGTGGAGTTCACTTTGAGCTGTGCTGGATTGATTCTCATGATTCTTTTGAAGGCACTCCCCTCACAAAGCATCGCTGCCCGTGGTGCTAAATGGGAAAGGTGTTCTGGTGGCCACAAACCTGCTATGAACTCGAGTTTCTTCGTGTACTCGTTGATCTCGGTCTCGCCCGGCTTGAACGCCGGAATCATGCTCCATGGAAGGTGAGATAAGGATGATGTTGAACCGGATGTTGAACCTGATGACACCTGTTCTCCTGTCCCAGTTTCCATCACCCCAGATCTGCAGCTTCCGGCACGTTCCTTTCCAAGGCCGGCTGCGGTAGCTCCGCTACCAATGTGGTTGCCCACAAAGGTAGCCAAGCCCCCGAGCTAACCAAGGAAGGAAAATTGGGACCCCAGGTCCTACCAAGCTTCACCAAGCGCCAGGCCGCAGGCGCAATGTTTTCCAATGGCTGACCGCAGCAAATCACCGATTAAAGGGGCATCCTAAAGCCCTTTGCTAAGGCCACCCTGAGCCGCACCTTCTATGACACACCAAGAGGTTTCCCGCTGGTGATTCATGATACAACTCGTTGTCAAGAGAATCTTCCTATACCTTCAAGTCATGTCATGGTTTGGCATGGAAATTACAATACATATATACATATATACATATATACATATATACATATATACATATATACATATATACATATATACATATATACATATATACATATATACATACCTACATATATACATATATACATATATACATATATATATATACATTTACACATATATACATATATACATACCTACATATATACATATATACATATATATACATTTACACATATACATTTACACATATACATTTACACATATACATTTACACATATACATATACACAAATACATATACATATACATGTACATATACATATACATATCATGTCTGAGTTTTTCTTTTTCCACACATACTGTAGTTATGTACATATGTATATATATATAGATAGATAGATAGATAGATAGATAGATAGATAGATAGATGGATAGATAGATAGATAGATAGATATCTACGTGTTAGTACTATCATGTATCTATGCATTGGATTCATCTATTTGTACATCTATATGACTTCGTATAGATTCCACGAGGACCAAGTCAACAAAATGGCCCTCCGCACTGCCCTTCCGTGTAGTCACTAGTCACTAGCAGGGTCAGTCGGCCCTGAATTGCCTACTTGCTGGTTACAACTGGGGTGAAGCCACACGATGAACCTGGGGAGTTAACCACCACATCTCACAACGCATTTTCTTTCCACGTCCAATATCAAAATAAGCTTTAATCAGCTCTCCGAAGCCTTTTTTGAAGGGCTTCATCTGAGTTTTCAGGGGAAATCTCCCAAAGAAAGTGTTTGGAATGATTTTCCAAAATCTCTCCATCTTTGATGTGCTATGTCTGCTATGTTTGAGTACCAAATGATTTCAGGAAATCTTTCCGGAGGATCTCCCACCGGTCGTTCGACCCACTGTTCGCGTCGTCGTCGCCTCGGGTTTCGCACTGCGGAAGTCCAGGGTGGTTCCTGGCACGACGTCCAGGACTTTATGGTGAAAGTTGATAAAATGTTCGATGGTCGATCGATGGTTTGTTAATTGTTTAATTTTAATAGTGGAGTGGTTATCAATTGTTATCATTCTCATGGTCAATAGTTCTCATTGCTTAATGTTTATTCTATAATGGTTCTTGAAATGCGAAGACCATCACCACCGGCTGAGTAGTGCCCAGTTCACAGCATTTGAAAACACCCCGGCCACTTTGAGGGCGGGGTCAGCAGATTGGTCCGGAATGCCCATAATAAAAATGTGTATAACAGTATAGCCCACTGGAATTCACCAAACAGGGGTCAATTGAGCACTGCTCAACTTGCTACTCACTTGCATGATGCTTAGAGTTAGTATTTATGATTGGGAACTTGCTTTCACCCCATCATAACTTGGATATTGCACAGATTATAAGCCAGTTAATGATCTTTGTACAAAGCAATCCTTGCCCCCTGACATTCACACACCTCCAGAAAATCTAATGTTGCATCTGTTCAGGTGAGAGTTCCTGTTTCAGAGGGATGGGAATACTAGCCTCAGGTGATCAAACATGGCAATGGGACCCCCCCAACCAATGGAGGTGTTAATGAGAAAATCATCTATGACTCTATGACTGTGAATGGGCAGTTTTCCCTTGCCATGTTTGAGTAGGGCAGCGTATCATGTTTAAGCCGTCCAACCTCACATCCCAACATTCCCGCTTGTTACTCGCGCTTCAGTTGGACCCCATTGGTGCTTGGTACCCAGGTTGATCTCCTCAATGTCTCCTAAATTTACATCCCCATCCCATCCCCCAATTTTCAAATCCTTGTTTGATCACCAGAAACCATCCACCGAAATCCTTTGACCAATTTGACCCCCTGGCCTAGCGCGAAGCGCGCGTTGCCCTCCGTCAACTTCTGCAGGGCCCAAGCAGGGCTCGGTTTTCGTGGAGCTGGGAGACGCTGGTCACGGGGACCGGCCTGGCGCCACAGCTGATGAAACCCTTGGTTTTTCCTATGGAATAGGGGGGGGTCCTGTATTTTTTCCCGTAAACCAATCCATCCATGGGGAATTCAGAAAAGTAGATGGTTTCCGCTGTGGAAGCAGGAAAATTGGCAGTTTCAACCATCAAACATGGGGATATCATTTAGAAAATGGCGGATTTGAAGGATTGTGGATTTAACCATGTGATTTTAGGGGTCAACTTGGTCAACTGGGTCAACTGGGTCAACTGGGTCAACCATCCAATATTTTGTGTGTTTTAACCATCAAAAATAGGAATTCAACCATCGTTTCTAACTTTTGGTTTACCATTTTGTTGGCATTAGACTATTAGTACTGTGTGTTTCTATCTTGTGTTGTATGGAATTCATCCGTTTCAATAATCTTTCTCAACAATGTCTCCAAATTGTGTCTGCTGATCTAAAAAAAAACGCCAAATTCAGCCGTGACCTTCTCCCGGCATTCGTTATGGCCTGTCGCAGCAGCGGCGCAATGGAGGAGGGAAGCGAACTGGACAGAATCATCTCCTCGTGCGGAGATTTTCCTTGGAGCTGACAGAGGTGGTGACTACAAACCCGTGGAATTTCTTGGAGCTGTCCATGACGTGGGAGTTAAGAGTGTCATGAGGGTACCATGAATTTATCTCATGATAATGATAACAATAAGAAGAAGAAGCATCAGAACAAAAACTGGAATGGATCATATTCATTTTTACTATAGGAAATAGTCAAACCATATCATAGATATTACCCTCTGGTCTTTAACATAGCTATGGAAAAATGCGAAATTATGGATGATGTATGATGATTTACCTAGCTTTAAGATGGTGACTTTCCATAGCTACATTAAATGATTATGAGTATGAAGGTAATACATATGATTTTCTCCAATAATAGGGGATGGGCAATGGGCCATTTTAAAAAACAAAAAAGTTGTCAAATAATGATAAACCCATACCATAGAGATCCTAATCATTATGATCATGTGTGCTAGGGTCAAAGCATGGTACGTGGCTTATGGCCATCCCATATTCAAACTCCAAACGTAATCTGTCAGGGTAAATTCCTATGAATGACCGGATTGATAAACATTCAGCAACCATGATCACCATGGAATAATCATGGCACATAAAATCATAGAATCATATCATCATATCACCATAAAATGATATAATAATATAATCATATAACCATACAACCATATGGCAGTGTGTCAAAACCCTGTACCCCTGGTGAACATAAAAATAGCTGGTAAATGGATGTTCATCCCTCTAAAAATGTATCTAAGTGTATTGACCCATACCCATATAACTGTAAGTACATAACTGTATAATCATGTATAATCATATAAACATATGTAAGTATATAATCATATATAATCAAATATAATCATATATGATCATATATGATCAAATATAATCATATATAATCAGATATAATCATATATAATCATATATATATGTGTGTAATCATATATATATACATGTGTAATCATATATAATCACATGTATATATATATATGTATAATCAAATATAATCAAATATAATCAAATATAATCATATACAATCATATATGATCATATATAATCAAATTTACTCATATATATAATCATATAACATCATATATCATCATACAACCATATATAATCATATATAATCACATATATATATGTATAATCATATATGACCATATATAATCATATAACATCATATATAATCATATAACATCATATATAACCGATCACATATGCCATCTTGAGCATAATTGCAGAAACCATTTCCAGGCGAGAATTTAGAGGCAGGCGAGATTTCAAAGGTCAGGCAGAAAAAAAGGTCCGAACACGTTCAGGCTCAAATTCTAGCCTGAGGGTGCTCTAGGTATATATGTGTATCTCCGCCGACCCCTGCCTAGCCCCCCCCCTTAATGGGGGGGTCGGCGGCACCAGGGCGTTAGCCCATTTATATATATATATAGATATATATATATATGTATATAGAGAGATATAGATATATATATATATGTATAATCATTTATCGTCATATATAATCATATATATATATAATCATATAACATCATATATAATCAAATCGTCTTTAGAATAAATTCTGCCACTATCCCAGTCTTCGGCTGTCAAAGTCTTCGCCAAAGGATCCCATGAACTCCACGCGACCGGTCTTGTTGTCGAACAAGGCCCCCAGCACCTCCAACTGTCCCTTCTTCACCTCGAGAAACTCACGCAACTTACCAGTAACAAAGCATGGGCCCCCGGGGTTGACACAAAATCATTGGGAATTTTACCATGAATGATGACTCACCAGGAAGAATAGAGGTTTTACCAGATGTCACATGGGGATTCAATCACTAAAATGGCTCAACGATCAAAAACGTGTGCTCACCAAGTGATATTAAATGATGAATACCCCAATTCACTGCAATTGGAATGGGGCACATAGTGATCAACCATGAGATTTGGGGTTAACCTAGCTATAGTGTCATAGATTACTGTAATAAAGCTTACTGCTATGGGATGTACCATTTTATGGCTGCTTCACTATCACTTTTTTGGGGAGCTGCCCAGTTGGTGATATGAAAATCCAGGTTTGACACGCACCAAGTTTAGGACCTAACTGATCTAGTCAGCCCCAAAACTGGATCATCAAATGTCTTTCGACCGGAAGATCTCGAACCCCTAAAATCTGAGAGAATGGCCCATAAACTTTCTGGAACTCTTGTGATCTAAACGTCTTCTCTGCTGCGAATTGCGAGCTTGGTGGAACTTAGAAATTGTCATGGGGCCAGGGGTTGCAAACGGCCGAATACAGGCGGCCTTGGTATTCGTTCAGCGTTATCTCGATGATTCATTAAAAAATGCCACCACTGATTTAAAACCACAAGACTATACAAAACTGACGATTTCCTCAAGATAAAATTAATATCGGGCATGGGGCGACGGGGCAACTATTTTTGCTCGCTTAACCTTACCCAAATGTTTGGCATTTAGCCACCCAATGTTTGCCCAAATAATATCAAATAGTCTGACAGAACCCCACGTGATTAACACCCAAATACGGAACCCCAATATGAATAGATCCACCACATTCCGCCAAGCTGTCCAGTGGTCTCTACAATTCGCGGAAAATACTAGAGGGGAACCAAAAACTGGAAAAGCTTGCCCCGACCATCATCATCATCACCATCATCATCATCATCATAGATATGTACATCGCCAAGCCTAGACACCCTGCAAACCAATTTATATATGTTCTATTCACAGCACCAGAAATGAACCATTGACCAACCCAGCCAAGGATTGTCCAGTGTCCTTCATACATTCCAGGTGTTCATTTTTTTCTATGGGGTTGTTGTATTGGTTTGTCACATAAAGTGTGTACTCCAAAATCCTATAGTTGATCATCGTAAGTTTTGGGGCACGCCTCATTTTCAAACATACACCCAAATCCAATTAGCTAAATCCCCACGGTGATGTTTCCATCTATTTTTGTGATAGTCAAATCACGTCAAATCCTAAATGTCGTTCTGCCGCCCCGCCATAGCCTATTAACTATGCTTGCCCAATATCTTGTTAAGTTACGAATCCCTAACTGGTTCCAAATATGTATGAATTCCTTACTAAACCATAGTTTCGGAAGGGTGTTTAGTATGAACGTGGGATGGGATCCCCCCCTTTTGCAACGCAGGGCCCGCCTTGCTCTGGATGGGGCTGCTGGACTGCAGCAAGTAGTTGATGGTGCCTTGGACATGGGGCGAAGCGGCGAAGCGGAGGGGGTTGTTCACCACCACAAGGGTGGGATTTCATGGGAAAATACTAGGAATATAAGTGGGATATACCCTCTGGTAATTTGTTACATAGCTATTGGAAATGGCCATTTATAGCGGATTTATCCATCAAAAATAGTGATGTTCCATAGCTATGTTAGTTTGCCAGAGGGTAATGGGAATAGGAATATATAATAGGGATATGATGGGGATATAATGGGGATATCGCGGGGATATATAAAGAGAATATGAAACCATACATGGGATATACTGGGAATGATAATGGGCATAGGAAATATGGGGATAGACTGGAAATATGTAAACAATACTCTCTTTGCTGGGATGGTGAATTTTCGCCAAAAGAGTATAAAACCATACAGGGAATATGATGGGGACACAATGGGAACATCGCGTGGCAAAAATGGGTATAGACACGGAAAAAATATCAATGGGATTATGCTAGAACAGGTTGAAAATCCGCTGTCCTGCGGACGTGTTTGTGGATGTGTTACTAATGCTTGTAGTAGCTTGAGCTTTAGATCTCCTCCTGGACGAATTTTTGCTTTGGCTGACCTCACCTGCCCCCCTTCCCACCCCCCTGCTCTTCATCCTTCATCTTTATCCTCTTTATCCTCTTTATCCTCTTTATCCTCTTCCTCCTCTTCCTCCTCTTCCTTTTTCGGTTTCGTTCCCAATCTCATTCTCGTATTTCGTTGCTCAGGCTAGCCCCTAGGGTGCTGCATTTTTTCCGCGTTTTCTCAATGTTTTACGCCAACCAATTTTACACCGTTTGCCTTTTACAGTCAAGGTGTTTCACCAACTAATTCTTGCAGAAACTGGTTTTTATACAAGCTAGCATTTACGCAACTAGTTTTTGCATAACTAGTCTTTACACCAACTACTTAGTTTTTAAATCAACTATATACTTTTTTTATACAAACTGACTTTTACACCAACTATATAACCCTTTCAAAACTAAATTCACACCAATTATCTTTTGCACAAACTAGCTGCTGACTGTTACACAAACTAGCAATTACACCAAGTTTTTTCTCGCACAAACTAGGTTTTACTCAACTAGCTTTTACGCCAACGGGCGTTTACGCAAACTTTTTCTTGCACAACCCAGTTTTGACAAACCAACCAGCTTTTGCACCAGCTAACATTTTACACAAACTAGTTTTTACACAAAGTAGCTCTAATACAAGCCAGTTTCACACAAACTAGTTTTCACACAGACTAATTTTTACACCAACAGTTTTTATACAAAGCATCTTTACACCAACTAGTCTTTATAGAAAAGTGAGCATTCAAGAAACGTGAGCACGAGTGAATGCATGAAAACAAAGTCCAAGAAACTCATGGACTGCTTGGGGGTTCCACAGCTCTGTACCAAAAAACAGACATAGACAAAGTCCCCATCACATCCCCTTCAAAAGTCCTCATCGAATGGTTGACATCCTCAACAAAAAAATCTTCCAATCCTTCCCCGTCCTTGGTGGATTATCTCCCTTAACCCCATTAAAAAAAAAAAAAACATCTGCATGATCTTCAAATCCCATAATTCATTTCTTTGCCTATCAATATTATATCCCTACCTACGGTAGTATAACAGAACTGTGTGATGGTCAAATCCCACAATATGGATGGCTCTGCCATTAATTAATGTCATTATTGCTGCTTATTAGTTATTCATAACAAAATTGTTCATCCGCGGAACCCCTATTTTTATGCTCATAAGCATATTTTTGCTGGCTAAATCCCCAATAATTCCACAGAAACTAAGATCATTCTATACTATCATCCCCATGAAGGAAAAATTAAAGTATATCAATTTATCCCCACTATGATCCTCATTTTCCAACATATCCCCCTATCATCATTTTCCAGCCATTGATTATGTGCAGTCACCATTGCAATGACACGACATATCCCCACGTCGATTTCTAACCATACAAGGTTTCCCCATAGCAAAAGCTTGTCTTAGATGTCCCCATCTCCCTTGAGTTACCAAAAACCAGTTGAAGAATCAGTTGGATTAGAAGCCTCATAAACTAGTTGGATATGTCTACCATACACCCTGGTTAACCAAGTTCTTAGACCCCACGAGTATCTTTTGACCAACACCCACAATCTAAAAGAATTGAATATTACATCCCATTGACTATGGATATAATATACGCCTTAAAATCCCACTACCGGCGACCCTCGTGGTTCCATTCAACTGCGCTAGTAATAATAATCATCATCATCATCATTATCATCATCATTCATAGTAACCGTAAAGCATTATACTTGTCAATATAGTTTCCATTCAATAAGAACTTGGAATGCTGCCAACAACAAGGGAGGAAAACTGGGTAGATAAAGAGCTAAAATGAGTCATTCCCCCAAAAAAAGGTGGCTATCATTTACCTATTGGCAATCCTTATATTCCAAGAGATGTATAATTATATATATACCTCATCATATTCCAAGATGAGTAACATGTTCCCCCTTGTTTCTTTTATCCCATATACTCCTTCTGGTGTTTTCCCATTTCACCAGAGCTGCAATAGACGTTCACCTTCACTGCGGCCTGCACCAGCTTCGCGCGCCGCGACGGCGAACACGGCGAACACGGCGAACACGACGAACACGGCGAGCCGCAGCCGTCGCCGAGCTCGGCGTCGGCCTTCCTCGGTTCTTGGGGATAAAAGGCAGTGCAGACCCGGCAATCAAACGTGGCTGGGATCCCTCAATGGTCAAATACAGTATATACATAAATATAGTATAAATATATTAATATATGCAGTGAATAAATATATACATAATATATATATATGGGAAACCAATCCAAGTAACTGGGGGATTTTCCATTGCCATTTGTACCGGATGAGTCTTTCACAGTTTTCGCTGTCACATCCCGCCCGCGCCAGGAGGGTCGGACATTTCCTCGTTCAACTACTAACTTGAAGTAGCTATGTGGTTGGTGGTTTCAATCAACCCCCTAATAAATGTAAATTTGGATCATCACCGCAAACATACTTGTAAATGTAATTGAAAAGGTGAAATCGCCAGTAATATCCCCATAATTCCCTGTATTTTTTGTGTGATATCCCCAACAGCGTTATCCATGGGTCAACCCCCAAACTGTTTGGTGAAATTCCAAGTAATCTTTGAATCCACCAGTGATACCCTCGGGAATTTATGGAAAAAATCACCATTTTCAATCGCCATTTTCAATCGCAACCGTAAGGAAAATATCCAGAGGGTACCACCATTCGTAGCACCCAGACCTTTCCATCCACAGTTTCTCTACGGACTTCATCAACTCTAACAGGATGCCCTGCAGGGCGCTGGATCCCTGGAGAGTCTATGGTGGTAGCAATTCCCAAAAAGATAGATGGATGGATTTCTACTAAAATAGATGGTCATTGATTCTATTGAAAAAATATGTATATCTACATAATCTAAAATACTGAAAAAAAACTGTTTCTATCCTTTTTGGTGCTTACTGTAGATGAAGATTCGATCATATGATATATACATATATATATACATATACATATACATATACATATATATATATATATATACATATATATACATATATATATACATATATATATATACATATATATATACATATATATATATACATATATAT